TAATTGACGATATATGTTTGGGTTAATGTCTGGAGACTATTCTGTTCCATTGTCTGTGGCTCTGTTCTTGTGCCAGTACCAAATTGTCTTGATTACTGTGGCTTTGTAGTAGAGCTTGAAGTTGGGGAGCAAGATCCCCCCCACTTTATTCTTCCTTCTCAAGATTGCTTTGGCTATTCAGGGTCTTTGGTGGTTCCATATGAATTTTAGAACTATTTGTTCCAGTTCATTGAAGAATGCTGTTGGTAATTTGATAGGGATTGCATCGAATCTGTAGATTGCTTTGGGCAGGATGGCCATTTTGATTATATTAATTCTTCCTAGCCAAGAGCAAGGGGTGAGTTTCCATTTGTTAGTGTCCTCTTTAATTTCTCTTAAGAGTGTGTTGTAGTTTTCGGGGTATAGGTCTTTCACTTCCTTGGTTAGGTTTATTCCTAGGTGTTTTATTCTTTTTGATGCAGTTGTGAATGGAATTGTTTTCCTGATTTCTCTTTCTATTAGTTCATTGTTAGTGTATAGGAAAGCCTCAGATTTCCGTGTATTAATTTTGTATCCTGCAACTTTGCTGTATTCCGATATTAGTTCTAGTAGTTTTGGAGTGGAGTCTTTAGGGTTTTTTATGTACAATATCATGTCATCTGCAAATAGTGACAGTTTGACTTCTTCTTTACAAATCTGGATTCCTTGTATTTCTTTGTTTTGTCTAATTGCTGTGGCTAGGACCTCCAGTACTATGTTAAATAACAGTGGGGAGAGTGGGCATCCCTGTCTTGTTCCCGATCTCAGAGGAAAAGCTTTCAGCTTCTCACTGTTCAGTATGATGTTGGCTGTGGGTTTTTCATATATGGACTTTATTAAAAACATGGGCTTTTTTTACACAGCCTCAATGCCTTTCTCAACCTTAACAAATTTAAACCCAGTCCAAATTTAAAGTTACCCAATTGTTTCAAAATGCCCTCGCACAGTTGATTTATGGGGATCAGGACCCACCAGGACCACATGTGACATCAGAGGTCATGTCTCATCTGCCTCTTCTAGTGAGAGCACTGCACCCCACCTGCTAAAGGCCCCCCATTCGGGCATCTCTGTCTCGTCATTGTTGGGCTCTTTACCTTGCTCTCCCTTCCTCTGTATTTTTGTAAACTAAAGCTTGGTTTTACAAGCTTGATTATTTAAGTCCAGCTTTTTCACAGGAAGCTTCCCTAGGTGGTGCTGTGTGGTTCATTCTCTATGTGTAATGTAGTTGGGTGGCCAGATTTAGCAAACAGAAATAGAGGACAGTAAATTTGAGTTTCAGATAAAGAACTGATTTTTTAGTGTAAGCGTGTCCTAAGTATTGCATGGGACATTCTTGCACTAAAATCATACATCTCTAAAAAATACCGTTTTTTTCAGATAAAAGTTGTTCACTGTTCTGAATTCCAAGTCTAGCTAGCTGCCAGGTGTTCTATCTGGCTACCCTCAGTGATGCTGAGACAGAACTGCGGGTCGGGAGGTGTCAGCGTGATCTCTCCGTTGTAAATGTGCTCACTGAACTTGCCCTTAGTGGTTTTGTCTGTTGCTGGGGGTCATCAGGTGGTGATTTTTCTAACTTTAGTATTTCTTCCACGTTGATTGGCTATGATTTTCTGGAGAGAACTTTCCTTCATCAACTGGGCTTTTGTTCACCTCACCCTCCAGTCTTTAATCAAGTGTTTCGCCATCAGAAGCCCGCCCCACCGTCGGTGAAGTGGTACCACGCCCACGACGCCATGGCCTGCTGCCTCCCTGCCTTCTTCCCTGTTCCCGGAAGTACCACCAGGATCATCCCGTGTGTCTTACCCATTAGTTCTGCTTCCTGTATCTGCCCTAAGCTCTCTGAAGGCAGGGATTTTTAAGTTTTATTCATTTCTGTACCTCTCAGCCAAGAACAATGCTGTGAAGCATGTGCCTAGTAAATATTTATCCAATATTACTGAGTGAATGAGCATTGAGGTTTAATTTTTTTTTATTTATTTTATTTTGGTATCATTAATCTCCAATTACATGAGCAATATTATGGTTACTAGACTCCTCCCATCATCTGAGGTTAATTTTTTCCAGGGAATTATATGAACACATTACCCCAGGTACCATAAAATTAGAAGTAATAATCCCAATATTATGATATGTGAATTTGAGATTCACAATGAATTTAAATAAATCACGTTTAAATCAATACATAATTTTTTTGCCCAAAACGTTTAATAACATTTACTAAACACCTGTGCATGATATTTTTACATACATGCTCTCTTTTCATCTTCATGTTAACTATATGTTGTTTTATTAATTCCATTTTATAGATGAGGAAACAGTCATAGATCAGCCTTGAGATTTCAGATCAAGCCTCCTTATTTTAGACTTTCAAGTGTAGCATTTTTATATTATAGCTGCCTTTCTGTTTTGCAAATATGACATAATTGACCTACATAACTGACATCAAAACATACTGCATTTTAGCCACTTTGTCTTATAAGAACCTCTTTTTGTTGTTTGTCTTATCTTGAGATAGCAATCAACTAGCCTGCATCTTCTGTTGGTAGGGGTGTTTGTTGTGCCTGCTAGATGACCTTGTTCCGGGATCCCAAGTCTGCACATAGGAACGTCAAGGTGGGAGGCAGTGCCAGTCACCCCAGCCCCCCGACCCTCTCTCCTGCACACCCCAAGACCAGCACAGCCACAACCTGAGCTGTGCTGTTGTCACTTTGCCCTCTCCTCCCTCTTGACCTCCCTCTTCAGGGGAAACCCAGGTGAGATCATACAAGAAAATGCAAAAAGCCTGAAAATATCTGTGTAGCAGGCTGAGCAAAACCTAAGTGCTTGTTGACTTAGTGTGCAGGGCTAATTGGGGTTCTGGGGAGATATATAGCGGGGGCCTGGCAGCTGTAAGACAGGGTCTTGGGCCTCAGCTTTGCCACTTACCAGTTGTATAATGCTGGGAAATCGTTTAACCACTCCAAGCCTCAGCTCCCTTATCTGTAAAATGGATCTAGGCTTGCCTAAAAGGACTGTGAGGAGGTTTCTGTGCAATGGTCCTTGTGAATGCTTTAGCATGGTGTTCATATGTAGGTGTTCAATAAATGCCAGCTGCATGAGTTCAGAGAGCACTTTATGTAATGGGGTAAACGTACTTTCAGGGCAAATAACAGTACAGCAGACATGGTTCTGGCTCTAGCAGATACGTGGACGAGAGTGCAGAAGGGATGTAGGGGACGGGCAGCTCCCTGCCTGAATCAGGACAGATGCCTGAAAATGGCATGTATGTAGTTTGCAGGAATCATGGGAGGAGAACCCAGAATGTGCCGAGGCCCCAAGGGGTGAGAGGCTGTGGCACAGTCTGGTGATGGAGGAAGGAGAGTTCAGTGTGGACAGAGGGTAGACTGTTTAGACGCCGTGCTGGGAGAGCAGGCTGGAGAGTCATGTGGCGGCTGGCTGCAGGAGATCTTTGGTCAGGAATTTGGGTCTTAGTCTGTAGGTAGTGGGGGTTTACCCAGGGATTGGCTTTGAACAGCTGTGTGACCTCGGGTTCATTACCAGCGTCTCTATATCTCAGCTTCATCATCTATAAGCAATACTACCTAACACAATTTGGGTTGATCTATATAAAGCTCTTAGAAGAGTGTCTGCAATGTAGTGCTTCATAAGTAATAGCTGTCAGTGAGGTAGTAACAGGATTTTTCCAAGGTCAGAAGTTCTAAATTAATGCCTAAATCAGTACATTTCTTTTCATCTCCTAGGACTGTGCTATTTCAAGCACTGAAATGTAAATGTCCTGTTATTTGTTTTAATGCTAAGGATTTTGTGAGGACGGTGCTGAAGTTTTTTGGTAATGATGACAGTTGGAAGCATGGTAAGTTTTAGTTTTTATCGTCTCTTAACTTCATCTTTCCAATAGTGATTGCTTCTGAGGATGGGAGAATGGCAGGTGGGGGGCCTGGTCATGTGGCTCTGATGAGCCCCCAGTGTGGCCCTGACTTTCCTAATTTAGGGTAGGAAAGAAGTAACACCACATGGTCAGATGTTACTAGAGACAGTTTGTAAACTCGTTAAGACCTGAAGTCCAGAGAGATTAACATCAAAACAATATGGAACACATTTTCATCTTTCGTTTAAAATTAAGTTTTTTATAATCTTTTTTTACTAGATGGACATATATGTAATAAAGCAAATACAGCAAAAATGTTCACTGTAGAGTCTCTTCACTGTACACTTTTCAAATTATCTGCATGTTGAAAAACACTCATTAATAAGATACTGGAAAAAAATCTTACTGTACAAAATTCCCAACACATACAAAAGGCCTGTGATGCAATAGGAACTACATATTTGGTGTTTGTCCCTGGTTTCCTGGCACATAACTCCTAAAAGCCTAGTAAGGTCCAGGGGAGGAGAGAGTTGTATGCTAATGAGAGGTATCTTCTTTAATTTCTCTCTTGAGTGTCTTCTAATTTTCAGGGTATAGGTCTTTCACTTCCTTGGTTAGGTTTATTCCTAGGTATTTTATTCTTTTTGATGCTATTGTGAATGGAATTGCTTTCCTGATTTCTCTTTCTGCTAGTTCATCATTAGTGTATAGGAATGTAACAGATTTCTGTGTATTAATTTTGTGTCCTGCAACTTAGCTGAATTCAGATATTAGTGCTAGTAGTTTTGGAGTGGATTCTTCAGGGTTTTTTATGTACAATATCATGTCATCTACAAGCAGTGACAGTTTAACTTCTTCCTTGACAATATGGAAGCCTTTTATTTCTTTGTGTTGTCTGATTGCTGTCGCTAGGACCTCCAGAACTATGTTGAATAAAAGTGTGGAGAGTGGGCATCCTTGTCTTGTTACCAACTGTAAAGGAAAAGCTTTCAGCTTCTCACTGTTAAGTATGATGTTGGTTGTGGGTTTGTCGTATATGGCCTTTATTATGTTGAGGTACTTGCCTTCTATACCCATTTTGTTGAGAGTTTTTATCATGAATAGGTGTTGAATTTTGTCGAATGCTTTTTCGGCATCTGTGGACATGATCATGTGGTTATTGTCCTTCTTTTTGTTGATATGGTGGATGATGTTGATGAATTTTCAAATGTTGTACCATCGTTGCATCCCTGGGATGAATGCCACTTGATCATGATGGATGATCTTTTTGATGTATTTTTTAATTTGATTTGCTAATATTTTGTTGAGTATTTTTGCATCTATATTGATCAGGATGTACTGGTCTGTAATTTTCTTTTTTTGTGGTGTCTTTGTCTGGTTTTGGTATTAGAGTGATGCTGGCCTCATGGAATGAGTTTGGAAGTATTCCCTCCTCTTCAACTTTTTGGAAAACTTTAAGGAGGATGGGTATTATGTTTTCACCATATGATACAATTCAGCAGTGAAACCATCTGGTGCAGGGGTTTTGTTCTTAGGTAGTTTTTTGATTACCAATTCAATTCCATTCCTGTTAATTGGTCTGTTCAGATTTTCTGTTTCTGGGTCAGCTTTGGAAGGTTGTATTTTTCTAGAAAGTTGTCCATTTCTTCTAGGTTATCCAGTTTGTTAGCCTGTGATTTTTCATAGTATTCTCTAATAATTCTTATATTTATGTGGTGTCCAGAGTGATTTTTCCTTTCTCATTCCTGATTCTGTTTATGTGTGTAGACTCTCTTTTTTTCTTGATAAGTCTGGCTAGGAGTTTATCTATTTTGTTAATATTCTTGAAGAACCAGCTCTTGCTTTCATTGATTCTTTCTATTGGTTTATTCTTCTTGATTTTATTAATTTCTGCTCTAATCTTTATTTTGTCCCTCCTTCTGCTGATTTTGGGCCTCATCTGTTCTTCTTTTTCTAGTTTCATTAATTGAGTGTTTAGACTGTTAATATTGGATTGTTCTTCTTACCTGATGTAGGCCTGTATTGCAGTGTACTTCCCTCTTAGCACAGCCTTTGCTGCATCCCACAGATTTTGCGGTGTTAAATTATTGTTGTCATTTGTCTCTAAATATTGCTTGATCTCTCTTTTTATTTGGTCATTGATCCATTGATTATTTAGGGGCATGTTATTAAGCCTCCATGTGTTTGTAGGCTCTTTAGTTTTATTTGCGTAACTTATTTCTAGTTTCATACCTTTGTGGTCTGAGAAGCTGGTTAGTACAATTTCAGTCTTTTTGAATTTACTGAGGCTCTATTTGTGGCCTAGTATATGATCTATTCTTGAAAATGTTCCATGTGCACTTGAGAAGAATGTGTATGCTGTTGCTTTTGGGTGTAGAGTTCTGTAAATGTCTGTTAGGTCCATCTGTTCTAGTGTGTTGTTTAGTGCCTCTGTGTCCTTACTTATTTTCTGTCTGGTTGATCTGTCCTTTGGAGTGAGTGGTGTGTTGAAGTCTCCTAGAATGAGTGCCTTGCATTCTATCTCCCCCTTTAATTCTGTTAGTATTTGTTTCACATATGTAGGTGCTCCTGTGTTGGCTGTATAGATACTCATAATGGTTATATTGTCTTGTTGGACTGACCCCTTTATCATTATGTAATGTCCTTCTTTGTCTCTTGTGACTTTCTTTTAAAGTCTATTTTGTCTGATACAAGTACTGCAACTCCTGCTTTTTTCTCCCTATTAGTTGCATGAAATATCTTTTTCCATCCCTTCACTTCTGGTCTGTGTATGTCTTTGGATTTGAAGTGATTCACTCGTAGGCAGCATATAGATGGGTCTTTTTTTTTTATCCCTTCAGTGACTCTGTGTCTTTTGATTGCTGTATTCAGAACATTTACATTTAGGGTGATTATCAATAGGTATGTACTTATTGCCATTGCAGGCTTTAGATTTTTGGTTACCAGGGTAACTTCCTTAGTATCTAACAGTATAATTTTACTCACTTAGTATGCTATTACAAACAGTCTAAAGGTTCTTTTTTTTAATCCTTTTTGTTCCCCCTCCATTCTTTATATATTAGGTATCATATTCTGTACTCTTTGTCTATCCCTTGACTATCTTTGGGGGTAGTTGATTTGATTTTGCATCTGCTTAGTAATTAATTGTTTACTCTCTTTAGTGTGGTTTTATTTCCTCTGATGACAGCTATTTAGACTTAGAAACACTTCCATCTATAGCAGTTCCTCCAAAATACACTGTAGAGATGGTTAGTGGGAGGTAAATTCTCTCAGCTTTTGCTTATCTGGAAACTGTTTAATCCCTCCTTCAAATTTAAATGATAATCTTGCCGGGTAGAGTATTCTTGGTTTGAGGCTCTTCTGCTTCATTGCATTTAATACATTATGCCACTCCTTTCTGGTCTGTAAGGTTTCTGCTGAGAAGTCTGATGATAGCCTGATGGTTTTTCCTTTATATGTGATCTTTTTTCTCTCTCTGGTGCTTTTAATAGTCTTTCCTTATCCTTGATCTTTGTGATTTTAATAATTATATGTCTTGGTGTTGTCTTCCTTGAGTCCCTTGTTGGGAGATCTGTGCACCTCCATGGCCTGAGAGACTATCTCCCTCGAAGTTCTCAGCAGTTAGCTCCTCAAAGACACTTTCTGTCCCTTTTTCTCTCTTCTTCTTCTTCTGGTTCCCCCATAATGTGAATATTGTTTATTTGGATTGGTCACACAATTCTCTCAATATTCTTTCATTCTTAGAGATCTTTTTTTCTTTCTGAGCCTCAGCTTCTTTGTATTCCGCTTCTCTAATATCTATTTCATTTACCATGTCCTCTACTTTATCTAATCTGCTTTTAAATCCCTCCGTTGTATGTTTCATTTTAGATACTGTATTATTTAATGATTGTGTCTTGTTTCTAAATTCTTCCCTGCATTCTTGAATATTTTTCTGTACTTCCATGAGCATCTCTATGATTGTTATTTTTAAATCTCTTTCAGGAATATTGGTGAGTTCAGTTTCACTTAGGCCCTCTTTCTGGTGTTTGTGGGATTTTAGTTTGAATCAGGTTCCTTTGACGTTTCATGTTTGTATGTTTTACCCTCTAGTTCCTAGAAGCTCTTCTCTCTGGAGGTGCTCAGCCCCCAGAGGTAAGGTGGGGGTCGCAGGAGAGCAGTGCTGGTGCCTATGGGGATGAGAGAGCTGTTTTCTGCTTCCCAGCTGCAGTGCCTGTCTCTGCTGCCAGGGCTAGTTGGGTGAGCATGCAGGGAGAAGCCTCTATACTATTCTCTTGTGGCTGCCATGGGTGGGGCCTCCCTCTGCCTGGCCTGGCTCAGTGGTGGGTGCAGCCATTTTTCGAGCTGGTGCCTGCTGGGAGAAAGGCGCAGCAGGCTCTGTATCATGGTGGGGGTCCTCAGAGCTGTGTAGCCAGCAATGGGGATGAAGCGTCTGAAGCTCCTGAAAGCTCCCAACCTGCTGGAGAGTGTGCATCTGGATAATTTTGTCCACCTGTCCTTTCTCCTGAGTGGCAAGCTCTGTGCAATCCTTGCCCCTTTAGCAGCGCTCTCGCTGTTAGGAAGTCTCTCAGAGTGCCCCCGTTTCTTTTGTTCCAGAGTGGCCAGATGTGGATCCCTGTTTTCCACAAGTGGCTGGAATCTCAGTCTCTCCAAGTATTCCATCTGTCTTAGCTTTCCAACCCCACTAATCTCCAGAGCACCATTAATGTAGGTTTGTAATCCCAGAGCGCATCTCCACAGCTCAGTGTTCAGCAGTCCCAGGCCTCCACCCTCTCCTGCTCTGTTTCTCTTCCTCCCGTGGGTAAGCTGGGGTGGGGGAGGGGCTCGGGTCCTGCTGGGTCAGAGCTTTGGTACATTACCCTGTTCGGTGAGATCTGTTCTTTTCTTCAGGTATATGTAGTCTGGTGCAGCCTTCTTTCCTGTTGCTCTTTCAGGGTTCATATTATATGTGGTTTTTGGGAGGGGGTTTCTGTCTTACCTCTCATGCTGCCATCTTTAATCCCACCTCAAGAGGACTCCCTTTTTAAGATGATACCATCATCATTTCCCCACAGATTAGCCATGATCTTTAATATTATGGGTATTCAGTCAGTGTTTGTACTGCCCCAGTTATCTTTAAATATTTTGGTTTGTTTTTGTTCTTTACAGTTTGTTTGAATTTGGATCCAAATAAGGGTTGGGGTAATCCCATACCTGGGATAGGTGTGATATACTTCTTAAGTCTCTTTTAATCTATATATTCTCTCCCTCTGTTCTTTCTGCTTGTAATTTTTTATCATTGTTGATGGATCCAGGCTGTTTGTCCTGTAGGATTTCCTACATTCTGCATTTTGCAGACCATACCCCCTTCTTGCCTTTGATGTGTTCTTCCCTCTCTTCTGAGAGGCTTGACTAGATTCAAGCTAGATTTGGGGAGGGCAAGACCATTCCATAACTTTTTCCTGGCCTAGACCTTGATGCTGACCTTTATCCTTACTCTGAGTGGCGGTGTGTCCTGTTAGGAGGTACATGTCTGGTGGATTTTGTTTTTTGTGATATCTGCACTCCTATTTCATATGTTGAATCTTCTTTGTCTCTCATATTTATCACTTCATCTGGGATCTACTTTTAATCTCTTCATTTCTTTTATAGTTTAAAAAAATACCTCTTTTCCATTCTTTCTTTTTTAGTTAAGGCATCATCTGCATTTATTTGCTTTTGTTTTTATTTTTGAAATGGTTTTTTGTTTTATTTCCCTTTCCTGAATTCTTCCATTTATTGCATTCAATTTTTCTTTTTCTAAGTCACCTAATTTCTAAGTATTTTTACTCCTGTTTTATTTGTTTTTCATAACTTCTATCATTGTCTCAATTATTTCTTAACTTATTTTAAATGTTTTGTTGGTATTTCTATTTCAAGTACTGACATTTTCTCCCAGGTGTGGGTTTTTTCCTGGAAGGCTTCAGTTCGTTAGTTACAGTCATTTATAGGGACCAGCCCCCAGTCAGACCTTCCTCAAGGATCTTTAAAGATACATCTTGATAATAGCCCTTAGTTTTGGAACAGTAGGGCTTTGAAAGAGCAAGCTGAGTGAAATAGTCCTACGGGGTCCATTATCATTTCCAGACAGTGTTAGGTAAAGTCATCTCGAGCTGACATGGGGGGTCAGAAGCCAGAATGCCTGCTGACTTCCTTCCCCCAAAGTTCCAAACCTGCCAACATAAGAGACTTCTCAGACATCAGATAAAAATGTCATGATACTGGCTGCTTTGATAAATAAATATAAATCTCCCAGACTAGTATATAAAGATGCCAGAAGATAACAATATTTAGCATGATGTGATCTAAGACTACATTTTGTTTAAAGGCAAACTCCTTATTTTTGTTTAGCACAGTTCCAAATGTTAAGGTAACTTAAAGCAGTCGCTTAGGGTTCAGATTTATCTCTAATCAGCCCTCTTCCATGTCCAAAATACTCTGTTACTAAGATTTACTTAGCAAATAACTTTTTTTTAAAACAAGCAGCTTCATGTACATCTCACAAATACATACTTAAAGTCATCTTTTCTCCCAGTTTTCAGAAGAAAAAACTAACACTTAAGGGGCAGTGAGCCCCTGGGTTCACAGGGTGACCCTGCACTGTGGTCTTTTTCACACATCTCCACACAGCCCATTGGGTGTCCTCAGGCACATGCCCAAATGCCGGGTGTCCGTGCACACACTGCCCAGTGTCCAGGATGCTGTATGCTTGGGCAGTACCTCACCCTCTCCCTGCTCGAGACCTGGCTTCCTGTGCACCCTGGTGGGGGGTCAGCATGTCCTGGGAAAGCAGGCTGGTGAGAGGCTGGGGGAGGGGAGGACCCGGAAGGAGGGATGTGTTGACATATATGATTGAAAAGCCGGATGGGGGACCGGTGCATGGGGCAGTGAGGGGCTCGGGAGCAGGGAGGGGAGAAGGATGGGGAAGAGGAGGCAGGAGGTGAGCCTGAGCCTGATTTCCACCCCTTTTACTGTATTTAAGAGATCTATTTGAGAGATTTAAATTCCTAGCGAGTTTGGACTCTCCATTTCCTTTTAGCTGTCTGGGATCAATTCCCCATGGAGACTGGCTGCGTGGGACCTGGGTGTGGAGGCCACTCTTATCAAAGGGTCAGGATTCTTTAGGCATGAAGAGCATTACGTTGGGGCTCAGCTCTGTAATTTGAGGGGATGGTAATGCTACTACTATTCATTTGAGCTTGAGAACCTTGTAAAAGCAGGAAAAAGTGCAATTGCTCATTTTCCTTAGAATGATTAAATGATGTTTTACTCTTTAGTTGCTGATTTTGTGGGGCTGGACCCCAGAATTGCTGCATGGCTTATAGATCCTAGTGATGCTGCCCCCTCTTTTGAAGATTTAGTGGCAAAATACTTGGAGAACTCCGTCTCAGTGCAAGTGAGCAGCACATACAGAAATTCCTCAAGAAATACTGTGGTGAGCTGTTTTAGGATATGCAACCCTTGTTTTTTTCCAGGAACTTTTCTATATCATAGATAGTCCATTAGTAGAGAGACTAGTGCTGGCACTTTTTTACTTACTCAGCACAAATGCTATCTCTGCCGACATTTCTGGGGGGCTTACGGAGGAAGGGTGGTGACCTCTGTCCGCCGTGGGCCCTCTCATCTGTGCCACTCACAGTGCGGTTCTTGTATGGACCTTGTGTCAGAGAGGCAACTGCTCTGTGAGCAGTGGCCTGCTTGTTTGTGAGTTCTTGGTGCTGGTGACGCAGCCACTGCAGCCCAGGGCCAGAGGCTCCTCCTCAGCCCATGTGGGGAGAATAGAAGCTACCCAGGTGTGTCTCTCCAAGCCCCCGCCTGGAGATGCATCCAGTGGTTAGGAGCTGCTATCCAGAGAAGCGAGGGCGTCTGCAACTCTGGAAGCCTCCTGGAGCCCAGCAAGAGGGAGATGTGACACAGCCCCAGCAGGCCCAGAGGAGGCGACCCGGTGGGGTCAGCAGGGTCACAGTTGGGCCAGTCTGCTCAGGTTTGCTAGCTGTAAATAGCTGTAAATTAACAGCCACACATTGAAAGCAGGACTGGAAAGCAAGCCATGTGCTGAATGGGCACAAGGAGCTGTGGAGGGGCACAGCAGGAGGCCCATGCGAGTTGCCCTGTGGCTGATGGCGTTCTTGTAGGCGCTTCACCCTACAGGCATCCTGTGCTGAGGGACCTGCATCAGACAGGGGCTTGGGTCAGAAAAACAGAAACTCACTCTCCCTTAGCTTAAAAAGAACTTGTCAAAGGAGGATGGGGCAGCTCACAGACGCGCAGACCTGGGAAGGCAGGAGCCAGGGAGCATGAGCTGGCGGGCTCTGGCCTGCAGTGAGCCTGGAGCTTGTATCTGTGTGTCACTCTTGTCTGAGATTCAGAGCTCATTCCACACTGTGCAGCATGGTTGCCCCTTGGTGAAGAAGGGCAGGGCACAGAGGTTAACAGTCATGATTCTACGCTTCCATGCTGTCCCCAGAAGCAGCTGAGGTAATGTCACCAAGAGGAGTATGCCACCTCAGTATTCGCAGCCCCTCAGTATTAGCAACCGAGGTACAGAAAGGTTCCCGGGCATGCACCTTGCCCAAGGTCGGGTTGGATCTGACTCTGTGAAGTCTAGTCTCTCTTTAGTATGCAGTGTGTAAGCTGGGAAGTGGCTGCCAGGAGTGGAGGGGCAGCCACAGAGGGTGTGTCTGCTTCTGATGAGTGGGTGAGCCCTCCCCGGCTCAGGGTGTCAGACTCCCATTCACCACGCCTGCCACTTCCCGGCCACTGCCTTACAGGTCCCCCAGGAACTTCACCCCTGGGCCGTCCCCAACGCTCTCAGCAGGATAGAGGCAGCCTCGCATGAAGAGGCCTGGGGAAGGAGGGGGAGAGAAGGCTGTGCTGCGAGCCAGGCTTGTCAGGGGCAGCCTATGGCCAGAGCTGTTCACAGAGGGCTCACATGCTCAGCTGGTCCCTAGGAGGCTCACCGGGCAGCCGTGTTCAGTCTCTCACAGTGCCTCCTCCTGTTGGAAAGCCCAGGCAGGAGGGACTGGACAGAAATGCCCAGGTGCCAGCTGGGAGCAGACAAGCTGAGTCTGACTGGTCTGGAGTCTGGGGAGGCTTTTGGCAGCGAGGTGTTCAGTGGGAGATGCTCAGGCTCCAGGTCGGGGGAGAATTAGACTGAGCGTGGGGGCAGCAGCTTGTGCCACCACCCCCTTTGTCGGTTGGACCCAGCCCCTTTGTCCCACTCCCAGGGCCTCTGAATGTGTCACCTTGGGTGAGGAGTGTGGAATGTGGCCGTGTGGCTGCGCAGCTTGCTCGTGGAGGGTGGTGGAGCTGAATGTCTGTCTCTGTGCCACAGGCACTTAGCTTCTTTGTGACTCATGTCCTGTAAAATGAGTTAGAAACTGGGTTAGAGAGAAAATATCAGCCAACAGGTAGCTTACATTGCCCAGTAAGAAGTCTGTGTGTAGGGTGGAGACTTGTCCACTCGGAGGTGACTGGTGAGGCCACCAGATGTATGGTATTTGCCATGGAGAGACTTAAGCGACGTAGCTAGTAAGCATTTTTGTGAGTTGTGTCACTTCCTAGATTGTGACGATCATGGCTGCCAAGGTTGCCTGACTTTTGATTCCTTTGCTCTCTTAAAGAATCAGAATATACGTGTGAACCTGAGGATACTCCACCGACTTACAATGGGCCTTTGTTCCCGCTTGAAGGCAAGGCATTTTGTTATAAGTCCGGCGAGCAGGCTCTCCCGCTCACTGTCCGAGAGCTTTCATCTGCTTCCATCCTCGCGGGAAGCAGTGCCTTCTGCATCTTTCAACGTCCAGGAAACGGAACACTGGGTTCTAAGGCCAAATAAACCAACACATCACTCATAAAAGGGTAGCCAGATCATAACACCTGAAGTTTTGCAAATATTTTCTATTGGTTGACAATTGTAACATTTTTTAAAAGCCTCTAATACAGTTGGAACATTTCTAATGGTTCAGCTAACATAAAAGCTGGGGGTTTATTTGAGTTCGTATTAGGTGAAATGGACACAGCTCCTTTCAGAGTCCCTGGGAGGCAGAGGGCATTTGAAGGAACAGTGGAGAGTTGCAGGACAGGACCACTAGGGCAGGGCAGGGGCCAGTGGGGATGGAGAAGCCTCCAGGATGGGCCCTGCCTGGAAGTTTCTCCACCCTGGGCTTGAAGGGTGAGCTGTTGCCAGGACCTGGGAGAGCTGTGGCCCTGTAGGGGCTGCTGGCTAAGTGGGTGCCAGAGCCATGGCTGCAGGCAGAAGACTGCAACCCAGGTACACGGTGGGCTGGTGGGCAGGCCCAGGTGGGAGAAAAGGAGCCCACTTCCCTCTCCTCCCACCCACCAGCGGGCAAAACCAGGCCAAGGCCAGAGAAGGGGCCGGCGATGTGGCCTGGTGGGTCTGAGGGGCAGGTGGAAACATGGGGCACAGTGGAGAACACACACAGCCGGGGACTCGCTCAGATGGCAGCAGGAAAGGGTGAGATGGGAACTCCGACAGAGAGCATGGCAGATGACTGAGCACAGGAGAGGCATTTGCTGCCCTGGGAGGAGAGGACCTCACGCAGAGGCTTCACTCTCCCACTGTAACACATAAAGTTGATGCAAAACCAGGTAAAACACTAGTTACATTTTTGGGAATCCAGTAAACCTATTCTGAAATTAAAACGGAGTAAAAGTCCACTAATACCTCAATCACACAAGCATGAGGACGATGAAAGAAGACTGGGGTGCTCGTCCCACTGGCCTCTCCGTCTCAGTGATAAAGTGGGGGCGTGAAGGAGAGGAGTTCTGTTAGGGGCGGCGGGAGGGACTGGCTGTCAGGCGGAAGCCAGGTAGGTCCGCTCTAGGATTGCCGGGATCAGCAAAGCAGATAGGCTCTTCGGCAGAATGCAGGTGGAAACCGTGATTTAACAGCAACACTGATAACCTTTCTTCCTGTGAAACAGGCTTATGGCTTATGGCAACTATTTTGTACTTTGGAGCTTCCTCTGATACCAATTTTGGCAGGTAAGGAACCGTAAAGGTGACACAGTCATCTTTCTAGAGAATTCTTTACATCGCTGGGAATGACTGTTTCTCTCATAACTTACTTAGGGACAGATGGTTGTCACTGGGCCCTGAAGAGCAGCAAGCCCTCTCTTTCCCCTTCTGTAGCAAGTGGTGTGGACTGCGTCACCTTGTGGCCTAGAAAGACTAGGAGGTTCTGACATCCGGCCACATGGGATCTCTTCTGTGCTGACTGGCTCTGCCAGATGCCCTGGCCACGGGGCGACTGCCTGACTGATTCCCACGCTCCTGAGACTGGGGAGGAGGCCTGGGGGATGTTTTACTGTCATGTGTGTCACATGTGTGGCTGGCCCTGGCCCTGGTGTGCTGCCCTCTAGCCTCCCACTTCATGAGAACCCTGGGAGCACAGCTGCCAGCCACTGCCTTTACCTCCTGGCCCTGCTCTGTCAGGTCCTGGGCACCTAGGAGAGGAGAGCCTCTCCAGGACTCTGCAGCCGTGCGGGCCGGGTGGCTCTCCCTCCCCAGTGTGGCTGGCCGGGGCATGGCCCCATTGCTGCTGCCACCACTGCTGGACTCAGATGCTGACCCTAAGTGACAGTGTGTCCGGTGGGAAATGACTTTGATGCAGTGCAGATGTTGTCTTCTTTGATGTCTGAATCACAGTGATGGAATGCCACAATATTCGGGTGAATGAAGAAGAAATGGAGAGGACATCAGCACTTCTTGGGGTACGTTATTAGCCAGGCCTCCTGTGCTTCTTTGTGCTGCCCTGCCTGGTAAGTCATTCCCCTCGACAGTTCTGGAGAGACTCCCCTCGCTTTTCCCTTCCTCCTCTACCTGAGACTGATGCTGGTGCCTTCCTTCTACTCTGGCTCTGGGGGTTTAAACAAGCACCACGTCTGCTCACTCCTGCCTGTGGACCTGTGTGTGACTTCATGGATCCTCAGTGACCCCCTCAGAAGTTAGGTTCTCCTTGCAAGGACATTGACCCCTGGTGTTTGGTGAGGGTGACTCATGGGTTTCTAGAATTCTTTAAAAGGCAAAAATAAAACTTCCTAACTCTGAAAAATAAAAAATACAGAGGGATACATCCATAAACATGCACGAAAAGATGCCTTAAAGTGTTCCACCTAGTTATTTTAAAGGAAACTGCAATGTAACTATCACCTAGGTCTCCAGAAGCCCCACGCGCCTTCTCCCTGTCAGAACCCCCAGCCTGCTATGCAAAGTACCCGCATCCTGACTTCTGTAGTCATTGCAGTGTTGCATATGGTTGCCCACTTCAGTGCCGAAGCAGTTCAGCTCAGCTGTCCTCTGACCCGGCCTCTGCGTCTCCCCTCCCCCCCCCATGCCACTGTGTCACTCGGGGCTGCAGTCCTCCATTGCGCTGCTCCATCAGCTGTTGATAGGCATCTGGGTTGTTTCCAGTTTGCAGCCATTACAAATCACACTGCCCCTGTGAGCGTGTCTCTTGGGCCTGAGGGCACATGCTTCTCTGGGATACACGGCAGGGTAGGGCCCCTGGGCACAGAGATGGTATTGCTCAGCTTTAGTAAATAACACTGAATTGCTTTCGAAATCGCATTCCATCTGGGTCCTGTCATTGCACATCCTTACCTGCAAGAGTGCATCTGACTGACCAGCTGCCATTTGGGTGAGGTTATAATGATATCTCATCAGGATTTTGGTTTCTGCTTTCCTGATTATTAATGAGGTTGAACAGCTTTTCACATTATCATTGGTTATTAGAAGTTTCTCTTTGATAAAGGATCTGCTCAAGTTTTTTACCCATTTTTATATTGAGGGTTTTTGTCTTTCTCTTACCCACAGGATATCTTTATATGTTCTGGTCACAAGCCTGTTACCCATACCTCTTATCTTACTTACCTTTTACTCTCCCAGTGGGGTCTTTTCATGACAGAAGTTCTTAATTTCTCATATAGTACAATTTATCCAACTTGTTCTTTATAGGTAGTACATTTTGAATGCTGTTTAAAAAATCTTTCCTTACTTCAAGCTCATGAAGTATTCTGTGTTATGTTTAAAAGCTGTTTTCATTATCCTTTGCATTAGGTTTATAATCTACCTGGAACAGATTTTTACTTTAGTGTGCTTTTTAATTGAGAAAGAAATTACATACAGTGAATGGTACAAATCTTTTTATTTATTGTGATAAAATACATTCAACTTAGAATTTACCATCTAAGCCATTTCTAACTACATTTCTTAATGTACAGTGGTACTAAATACATTCACATGGCTGTTCAGCCATCACCATCTTCCATCCTCATGACTGTAAAACTGAAATTCTTTCCCCATAAACAGTAACTTCTCATTCTCCCTTCCCCCCAGCCCCTGGCAACCACCATTCTATTTTCTGTCTGTATGATTTTTCACTAGTCTAAGTGCCTCATGTAAGTGGAATCATACACTATTTGTCTTTTTTGTGACTGGCTTATTTCACTCAGCATAAGGTCCTCAAGGTTCATCCATGTTGTACCATCAATTAGAATGTCCTTCCTTTGAGGCTGAATAATACCCCATTGTGTGTGTGTGTGTCTGTATACCACTTTTTGCTTATTTATCCATCTGTTGATAGATGCAATCCACTTGGGTTGCTTCCATGTTTTAGCTTTTGTGAATAATGCTGCTGTGAAAATGGGTGTATAAGTATCTTTGAGATCCTGCTTTCAGTTCTTTTCAGCATATACCCAGAAGTGAATGCTAGCTTTTTTGGTAATTCTGTTTTTAGTGTTCTGAGGCACCACCATACTTATTCTACAGCAGCTATACCATTTTTTTTTATTAAGGTATGATTGATATACACTCTTATGAAGGTTTCGCATGAAAAAACAATGTGGTTACTACATTTACCTATATTATCAAGTCCCCACCCATACCCCAATGCAGTCACTGTTCATCAGTGCAGCAAGATGCCACAGATCCACTAAGTGCCTTCTCTGTGCTACACTGTTCTCCCCATGATTCCCCTACACAATGTGTACTAAACATAATACCCCTCAATCCCCTTCTCCCTCTCTCCCCCCACACCTTTCCCCCCACTCCCCTTTGGCAACCGCTAGTTCATTCTTGGAAGCAGCTACACCATTTTATATTCCCACCAACAGTGCACGAGGGTTCCCATTTCTCCACATCCTCACCAGCATGTGTGGTTTTCACAGTTCTGTCAGTCTTTTCCCTTTAGCCATTCTGGTGGGTCTGTAGTATCTCATTGTGGATTTAATTTGCATTTCCCTGATAAGTAATACTATTGAGAACACTTTCATATACTTAATGGTATTTTAGATATATTCTTTTGCTATCCAATTGTCAAAGACTTCTCCCATTTTAAAATTTATGTTAACTGACTTCTTATTGATTTGTAGTTCTTTATATATTCTGTATTCAAATTCTTTGTAATATATATTGAGAATACTTTCTTGCAGTAAAGGGTTTGGCAAACAATGGTCTGTGGGCCAGATCCATCCTGTAGCCTGTTTTCATCTGGCCTGCAAATGAAGAATGGTCGTTATAATTTTTTAAAACACAGACAAACAAATTAAAGTAGAAAAGATGTGACAGAGACCATATGTGGCCCACAAAGCTGAAAATATTTACCATCTGGCCCAGTCTATGTGTATGGCTTGTCTTTTCACTCCCTTTATAGTGGTGTCTTTTGATGAACTGATTCTCTTCACTTTAATGAAGTCCGCTGAATAATTTTAAAAGTTTTTAAGAATTTTGTGTGCTAAGATCTCCTTGTCTACCTCCAGTAAAGATATTCTTTGTTTTTTCCATAAGCAGTATTATTTTAAACCTATCATCCATTTCAAATTAATTTTTCTATATGATATAAAGTACAGTTAAGATCTTTTTCTAAATGTATTTCCATTTATTTCTTTTAATTTATTAAAAGTACCATTGCTTCCTCACTCACAGTAGTGTCTATACGATAAGTCAGGTCACTAATATAAAAATTTCAGGGGAAAAAAAGGAAAACCAATGAACCAATACAGTAGTAGTTAGTAAAAGTGTATTATGCACATGCCAGACAGTTTCCAAACTGGGCACATTCCAGCCAAAACATGGAAGGAGGCTCAGCGGTTTGTTTTATATTAAAGCAGCTTCTGTAGTGTGGAGGCAGTGACTACTTACTCTTCACAGTGAGTGGTACGGTATTAGTATTTTCTTAAATGAAAGGGAATTGGTTGGTGGGTACCTGTTAGTGGGTAGCAGTTTGGGGAACAGTTTAAATTTCGCTTATGATTTTTAAGAAGCATAAGCAAGTGACCCAGTAAGGGGCTCATGCTGGCTTTGTGGCCTCATGGATACAGATTTGCACATCTTCCATTAGATTTAGTTAAAATATTCAGACTATTTAAAAAACTGTGCTATTTAAAAAATAGGCATCCTCTATGTAGTGAGCATATGAGTGCTTTGTCATACAAGCCTCACTTGTCTTGCAAAATAAGCAAGGTAAGTTTTGCTTAAATGACTAAACTGGTTCTGTCTGCTCAGGGTATTTTTCAGTCTGGTCTCTGTTTGTGAGGGATTTAACACTGTATAAGTGGAGTCTTTTCCCGGGCCCCATTCTGTCTCGCTGGTCTGTCTGTCTGTGCTTGTGCTCATACCCCCTGCCCTGGCTTAGTGATAGTATCCTTAGAATACATCTTGATGCCCTACTGTATGTCTTCCACCTTGTTTCCCGTGTGGTATTGACTATTCTAGGTTCTTTGCATTTCCATATAAAATGCTACTGTCTGCATTTAAAAAACCCTGGTGGGAGTTTGATTGTATTTTCAAGGCATATGACAAAGCACTCATATGCAGACTGCATAGAGAATGCCTACTTTAAAAAAAGCACTGTTTTTTAAATAGTCTGGATATTTTAACTAAATCTAATGGAAGATGTACAAGTCTGTATCCATGAGGCCACAAGGCCAGCACGAGCCCCTTGCTGGACATCACCGAATTTCTGGCCCACAGAACGGGAACTGTTATGCTAGCTGTTGGCTAGTTTGTTACGTGGCAGTGACTGACCAGTGCAGCCTGGCCCCACATCCTGCGGAAGGGCACTCGCTCAGTGGCTACTGGCCTGGCTGCTGGCCCTGGCACCCCGCTGGCCTTGGCCTCAGCTCTGCCCACTGCTCCATAGTTCTCATATTTCTGCTTAGAAGAGATGTGTGTGCTTTGCTTGTTTGAAACTGTCTTTTTTGTTTTTTCTGTTCATATTTACCCATTACTATTGTGTGCTTAAGCTCAGGGCATGCAGTAATTTGCAGATTTGCTGTGCCATTTTAACTGAAGCTCATGTTTTCTCTTAATTCTTTGAGATCAGGTAGCTTGTTGCTGAACTTGCTTCCTGAGGTCTGATGCTTTCCTGAGCAGACGCAGCGCCAGCCTATTAGTGCCCTGTTGCTTTTCCTCCTCCCAGTTCTTGGCTGCAGAGTTCCGCACACTTTGACCCAGGCACTGTTGCTGGTGGCTCTTTTTGCCTAAACACTATTTTTATGTATTCTTGTCCTGCTTCTAGTTTCTCTGACCTGATCTGTAAACTTTCGGGATTCCAGCCTAAAGGTAGTTATCATCTGATAAACGGCAGAATGCGGATGCTGTTTCACAGGGTTGATTGATTCACACTCTGCTGTCTTTCCTTTGTAGTTATTTTGTTAAAGCCCTGGCCGCCTACTTTTCTCCTAACCAGAATGGTGAGGGGGCACGGGGCTGATAAGCCAGGATATCCACTGCTCTGCGCCACTCAGCGCTGTGTTTGGCAGCTGTTGCACAAGGCATGTTCGGTCTTTTCGCCTGGACCATCCTTGCCTCCCAGCCCACAGACCCCGAGGCCCAGTTTGGGTTCACTGTGGTTGTTGAGGCACTGCAGCTGCTTCCCCTGCCACTGCTGTCTGTCAGGAGGGAAAGCCCAACATCGTCCCCACTGGGGTTTCCCAGAATGCTTTGGCCCTCATTCTCCTGCCTCAGGGTGCTTGAGATGTTCTGAAGTCAGGCTGTGAGGTCAGACCCCTTTCCGAGGCAGTGTTGCTGGAGTCACCCGTGCCCCCCTTGTTTTGGAGTCCTGTTCACTGTTCTCGCTGCCTTCGGTTCTGCTTCCTGTGGCTGGGGTGGTGATTCCAGAGCCTGAGTTTCCGCCATGAGTTGAAATAGGAATTTTTAAAATTCTATTTTGGTAAATTGTAGGTTACTGTTTATTATTATTAGAGCTTTTGTCAGGAATTGTTTGATGAACAAATTAAATCACCTTAAATTGTGAAAACTATTCACGAAATTGTCTATCACATTCATAGTCTCGCCTCAAGGAACTGGAGCACGAAGCCCACTTTGTCGCAGGGGAACAGTTTCTTATAACCAGTAGTAATAGGCTCCAGGAGGTAAGGCTGGCTTAGCACTTCTATAAAATGTATTTCTTATTTGGAGTCAAAGGGAGATTTAATCCAAATTTATAAATATTATTTTATTTTAATCATCTGAATAGTATGTAAGTTGTTCATGTTGCACATTGAGATTCAATACTTAAAAGCTCTAAATCAGAGAGAAGTCCTAAGTCAGAATCTAATCATTGTGCAATGTAATTGGGTCTGTCTTCTCTAGCTGGTGTCTTTAACTCTGCTGTAGTGCTGTTCACTTTCTCTCAAATCTGGGACCCTCTCATCCTGTGGAATTGCTCTTGTTGAAGGTCCTTTTTGGGAAGCTAAAGCTGCACCTGCTGTGTCCAAGGGAGACTCTTCCCAAAACGGGGCTGCGGAGATACCCATCCACATCAGAATCTGTGGTAAGGTCCAAAGTCCCACTATTTTTGAAACGGTAGCATGTCAACACCGCGTGTGAGTGGACTCTAGACCCAGTAATTCCTGCGGGGGACAGGCTGGCAGCAGGCACCCCAGAGCAGCTGGATTCAACCATTTCCTTTTTACAGCTGCCTTCCTACCTATGAGCCAAGGAAAAAGAGGTAGACAGGACAGTTTTCCAGAAAAATCCAAAAATTGGCTTGATTTCCTGCAAAGGACAGTTGGGTGGAATTTCATTCTGAAAACCAAATTCTGGCCAATCCAGCCATAATCTTTGTTATATGCCCCTGCCAGGGGCTGGGGTAGGAAAGGTCAGCAGTCTTTTCCTTCCCAAAATTTATTTCAGAAAATTTTAGCTACCCTTCCCTTGAGAGGAATACATTTTTTAAAAGACAGGGTTGTAGTGAAGTTGTTCTCTGTTAGAATGGCAGAGTATAACTAGACGTTCAGAATCCAGTCAGTAATGTCCTGGGAAGCATGCAGAATGGAGGTGAGGAAATAAATGGGTCCAGTTCCCTGTGGTGTGAGGCTGCGCAGGCCCTGGGTGACCTTCTGAGTCGTGTCCAGTGTCTGGCTTGGCAGCAGAGGGGTGTCCTGCGGACTGCTCGGTGCATTCTGCCTCTCCAGCACCACACTGTCTGCTCCAGCACCACTGTCTGCCTCACTTGCTGACTGTCCGCACACCTGGCCCTCCGTTCTGAGTGAGTGTGGACACCTGTGGAGCAGTGTTCTGCTGCAGGGAGGTGACTCGCCTCGCCCCCGGCCTCCCTGCCTTACACCTGTTCTGCTGTGGGAGGGGAGCTGGCGGTGGGTGGAGCAAGGTAGCAGTTTCAGACTTGGGCCACGTCACCTGGCTGACCTGTGCCTGTTTCCTGATCTGTGGAAAGTAATAGAATGTCCTCTGGAGTCTTGTGAGGATTCAACAAGTGTGTATGAGTGTGTATGCATGGTTTTGAGGCCCATGCCTGACAAATGAGCTCGAAAGTCAGTAAGTATTGGCTGTTATTATTAGCTGCTTCATTTGGACACCTATGAGCCATCTTTGATTTCCTTTCAACCTCACCCCACAGCAAATCCTACAATTTCCCTACAAAAATAAGTCTTGAGTTTGCCGACTTCCCTCCTTCTTCACGTCTACACCTCAGCCTCTTCCCATCAAGGCCCCTCCAGAGCACCCTAAGAAGTCTCCCGGCTTATGCTCTCGCCCTGGCTATGTCCTCATCAGATCCAGGCAGCGATCTTTTTTTTTAAAAATTTTTTATTAAGGTATGATTGATATACACTCTTATGAAGGTTTCACATGAAAAAACAAGGTGGTTACTACATTCACCCACATTATCAAGTCCCCACCCATGCCCAATGCAGTCACTGTCCATCAGTGCAGCAAGTTGCCACAGATCCACTATGTGCCTTCTCTGTGCTACACTGTTCTCCCCGTGATCCCCACACCATGTGTACTAAACATAATACCCCTCAATCCCCTCTCCCTCCCTCCCCACCCCCCCACACCCCTCCCCTTTGGTAACCACTAGTTCATTCTTGGCGTCTCTGAGTCTGCTCAGGCAGCAATCTTTTAAAACATGAGAAAAATCATATTACTACCGACTTGAATTTCCAGTGGCATCCCATACACTTAGAATGAAATCCTCTCCAGCACATCCCCAGGCCTGTGTTCCCTGCCCTTCTTTGGCCTTGACACTCACAGTCCCCCACTGAGCATGCTGCTGCCTCATGGGTTTCTGCATCAGCTCCAGACTCCACTGGGGGGACTTGCTAAAGATTTTTCATGACTGTCTTCTGATTGACAGCTCACATATTGCTTTCACAAAGATCTCCTTTGTTTACACGAGTAAGGCTTCCTGTCACTATCTATTTCTTCACCTTGGTTTGATTCATGCACACACCTCTCCATTACCTGAAGTCACCTTAGTTAGTCATTTGCTCAGTTAGCTAGGATATAGGTTGCACAGATCAAAGACCATCTGACTTGCTCACTGCATCTCAAGAACCAAACAGCCTAGAACTAGCATGTGGTGAGGCTAAACTATATAGGTGTCTGTTGTTTGTTCATAGAGCACTAGGATGGCAGAGAATAGGACCCATCTTGCTGGAGAGACTGGCATGGATTTCAGCACCCTCATGGCAGATTCAGGCAGTATGCCCTGAACTTCCTGCAGGGACAGTAGCTGGGAAAGCCGGGTTTCCCTTCCAGCTGCCCCTTGGCTGAGAGTCACTGCTGATTTAGTCACCATCCTGCCTAGTGGGCAGCATGCCCTGCTCTCTGCTGTTCCTTAGTTCTTCCCGACAACCTAGAGCCTGAGCGAGGGAGCACAGCCCTCTTCTGACACTGATGTGCTTTCCACGGAGGCGTGGTCGACACAGATCCTGTTAGCCCGACTCTGAGTTAGCTGAGCAAGTCATACTATTCTGTGCATTTAAAGATCAACTCTTACTAAGCAGAGCATGTGCATAGTTGTCAATTTAGAATCGAGACTCCATCTGTCTACTTCCCTCCCCGTGTTGCCCTCCCTGTGAAGCGGGATGTAGACTTCAGGTGAAATGGGCAGCCTGGAACAGTTCAAGTAAGGGTGCAACTATGATCTAGATACAGGTTTATTAGACTTCATTTTTTAGAGTACTTTTGGGTTCTCAGAAAAATTGAGCAAAAGGGACACACAAGTCTAGCATACCTTCCTCAGATAGCCTCCCCCATATCTATATTCCTCCCCTGCCTCAGAGGGGACATTTTTTACTAGTGATGGACCTCCAGTTTGGACAAATGCATGGCAACACATATCTGCCATTACAGCATCACACAGAGTAGCTTCTATGTCCTGGAAAGGCTCTGGGCTCCTCCTGTCCACCCCCCGCCACCCCAGCCCCTGGCAGCCCCTGATCCTTCCACTGTCTCCGCAGTCCTACCATTTCCAGAACGTCATATTGTTGGGGTCACACAGCTTGGAGGCTTCTCAGGTTGCCTTCTTCCCCTTAGTGATATGCATTTAAGATTCCTCCATGTCTTTTCCTGGTTTGATTGCCCATTGCTTTTTAGGGCTGAATATTCCATTGCCTGGATGGCCCACAGTCTATTTACTCATCACCTGCTGAAGGACACCTTGGCTGCTTCCTAGTGTGGGCACTTGTGGATAAAGCTGCTGTAAACATCCATGTTGTCTTGCCAGTGGATTTTATCCCTGAGCAAGTTCGCTATGGATTCAGTGTGACCAAAGAAATGACAGCAAAACATTCTTGGGGTGAAAGGGTTTATTACCCGGCTTGTTCTCCCCGCGGTAGGTCGAGCACTAGCGTCTCTGCCTCCGCCCAGAGCACTGGGCCGCGCTCTCTATATAGCACAATAATAGCTTATTGCCTAAAGGTGTGGAAGCGGTAGCCTAGCAACAGGCCAGTTACATCGTCAGGTGGTTTAAGTTCAGTGAGGATCCTGGCCATATGAACCCCAGCTTCTCCAAACGTGTGCAGGTTTTTGTGTGGATGTAAGTTTTCAACAATACCAAGGAGCAGGATTGTTGGTTTGAATGCTAAGAGTGTGTTGATTTTTTTAGGAAACTGCCAAATTGCCTTCCCACGTGGCTGTACCATTCTGCATTCCCACCAGTAGAGAGTGAGAGCTCCTGTTGCTCCATATCTTGCCAGCGTTTGGTGCTGCTTTGGGTTTTGGCCATTCTAACAGGTGTTAGCTGTGTTTTAAAAAGACTGCCATTGTAGCTGGTTGGAGAATTGAGGGGTCTAGTTAATAGGCTGTTGTTGTGGTGTGGGGGCCACATCCCAGCAATTTTTAGTCCAAGGGACGGCGATGAAGATGGAGCAAAGCAGACGGATTTTTAGAACAGAAAGGGACTTCTGTGTGAGTTCATGCAAGTGAGAACAGAGGTCAGGGATTCAGGGTGATTCCTAGTTGTCTTAGTTGTGCACTGAGCAAATGGAGATGGCTGCTACTCAGAAGCTGGGGGAGTTACAGCTTATTGGGTGGAGGTTAAGCTTTCAATCCTGGACATGTCGGGACAGAAGTGTTCACCAGACGTTAACACATGAGCATTTGGGTCTGTGAGGAGAAGTCTTGTGGTGGAGATGTACACTTGGACATGGCCAGCCGATTTTTAAGTCACCCTAGGATGGTGGTCCTCTGCCGCAGCAGGAGCTTTGGAAAAACCCTCATCTCCAGGCCCACGACTGAGCCACAGAATCAGAGTCTGTGGGTGGGCAGTCCAGTCACATGCATGTTTTTAAGCTCCCCAACTGATTCCAGTAAAGCAGCCAATATTGATAATCACAGAAATGTACTCTGAGAAACCGACATTTAGAGGTCAAAGAGAGGTGCCAACAAGAGGCCACAGAGTGAAGGGGGATGGGAAGAAGTGGTGTCAGGACCTAGAGCAGGGAGTGTTGACAAAGTGCTCAAGTGCTCGAGTGGCCAGCAGCCACGACTCTGCCTCTGATCACTAACAGTGCATCAGTGCTGGTAGCGCTTTGTTTGGTGTTTTATGAGATCAAATACTTAATTCTTTCAAGTGCTCTTAGGTGGCTCAAGTGGAGATATGCAGGGAGACCATGGTCGGAAAGTCACTTTGTGAGTGAGGCCAGGATAAGGAGCCACTGATCTTGAGCAGTTTGTTTGGCTAAATGTTCCCATGTACTCTCATCCCTTAGAGATGGCTTTTCCAAGAGAACTGCAATTCTGGATTATAGTGAGTCTGGACTCTCAACTCCCACCCTGGCCTGGCAGTGCTTGCCTTTGAGGACACCAGCCGTGTGGCTGTCCTGCTTACATCCCCACGGCTGGCCAAGACTCTGTCCTCACTCTAGTCAGAGAATGATAGAATTCTGTGCTCTGCACTATTACATTAAAGTTACATCATCAGTTCTCCCCAAAGTTGATATACAGATTCAAAATGATCTTCATTAAAAGCCTAGCAGGTGTTTGTTTTTTTAACATTGGCAAGCTGATTCCCAAATTTACATGGAAATGCAAAAAATGAAAAGAGCTGATAGAATCTTGGGAAGGACTGTTGGGCACCAGGACTAGTCCTGAAGCAATAAGAGACACTGGGAATGAGTGGTTCAGTGCAGCACTAGTCCACGGACAGGCAGTGGGCTGGGGCAGGAGCCCACACACCCACCCACACGTGTGTGTAAAAGACATCTCTCAGAAGGGTGGTGCTCTCCTGAGTAAGCAGTGAGTAAGGAGGGCTCTGTACAGAAATGATAGGGGGCTCGTGCATCTTGACCCCTATTTTACACCATATACAAAATTAAATTTCAAGTGAATTGTATCTAAATATGAAAAGCAAAGCAATAAAGATTATAGAGGGTACCATAAGAGATTATCTTCCAGACTTTGTGGTCAGTAAACATTAAACAGCACACACAATGCCTCAACCATAAAGGAAAAGGCTGGTAAATTAGACAACAATAAAATTAAGAATTTCTGTTTGTGGGTGCTCCTCTCTCTGAGGTCGCCCACACTTTTCATAAGTAACTTGAAATAAAACTTTTACTCTTTTTCAAAAAAAAAGAATCTTGGTTTGTGAAGAGATACCATTAAGCAAATAAAAAGCAAGTCACCAGCGGGTAGAAGCCAGCACATGTAATTGGCTAAAGAAAACATGTCCATAATAATGAATTCCTATAAATCAAGAAAAAAAAGACACACAAATCAAGTTTTTAAATGGGTAAAAGACATAAACAGGGTTTAATTAAAGAAAATTACATTTAGTTAATAAATACATGAATACTGTCCAGCCTCATTAGTCACGGGGAAAACAGATGTTGGAACCGTGCTAAAAATTAATTTTAATTTTTAGTGAGTTGGTGTTGAAGGGGAGCTACATGGCAGCATCTCTGTTAACAGAAACCCATAACCCCTGAAGCGGCCCTGACTGTGTCCAGAAGGGAATATGGCCCTTTGCCTGGAGCAGAACGGCTGAGACAGCCTCGGGTGATGGGCGCCAGCAGGGAGGTGGGGTGGGTGGGCTGCCCGTGGTGCTGTGGGTGTCACGGGGCACATTCACTTGGCAGGACCACCTGATGTTGTGTCACTGCAGCTGACCCAGTGACTTCACTGTTAATGTATATATTCAACAGGACACACATTAATGCATGGACTTGTGTTAACCAATCTGTATACCAGCGTGTTCACCACAGCACTGTTCATAATGGCCCTACAGCGGAAGCCACCATTGCAGTGCCAGGGGTGGGATGGGTAACACTCTACCTTCAAGCAATGGGGTAAAGCACAAGGAAATGAAAGGCTGCTTTTTGCAACATGTATGGATCCTAAATCCATTATGTTGAATAAAAGAAGCGACCCACAAAGAGCACCTGTCCTATTTCACTGATATGGTGTTCAGAAACTAGAAGGGGTGGCCTGTGGCAGGGGTCAGGGTAGTGGTCAGGGGCCTGCCGGGGACCTGGAATGTCCCATCTGGTGGCAGGCAGCACCAGGTGTGTCCGTTTCATGATAATGTACCAAACCATGTTACAGTCTTGTATTGTCAGATGTAACAGCCTGACTTTCTAAAATTCAAAACCTACAATTATATTCCACTATTACCTCCCTGAACATTATGCCCAGATAACTGTAATATGTTACATGTTTCTAAACCATTGAGTTACACATCTGTCAGCATTTTCTTACGTTACTCTCCTGTGTGGTGTTTTACATGACCTGGATTTGGATTTCACCAATTTAAATCTCAAGAAGAATCTTATTTCCACACTCGTGTGAAATGCTTTTAGCTTTCCTATGCACAACAATGGTTTTGTAAGGGAGGGATCAAGGTTAAGACATTCAATAAACTGGGTTTGTTGACTTTTCGTTTTGGAACATATGCTCAATATACACCATTTATTGTTAGGACTGAAACGAGTATTTGAAATGTTAAAATTAAATGAGGATGAATTATATTGGTGATACTCTCATTTTTAGTTAAATGCCCTCCAAGACCTTCATCCACTACCCAAGATAATTTTGGAATATCGGCAGGTAGGTTAATTTTAATTTTAATTTTAATTTTTAGTGAGTTGGTGTTGAAGGGGAGCTACATGGCAGCATCTCTGTTAACAGAAACCCATAACCCCTGAAGCGGCCCTGACTGTGTCCAGAAGGGAATATGGCCCGAGCAGGCCTTGTATCAGCCTCACACCCTAATGTGATTCCACCCAGGTCTACAGTCAGCCCTGCTCAGGCTGTGAATCAAAGGTGTCCTCAGTAGAAGAGGGCTAATCAAAACTTGGAAGGAAATACTTGGTGTGTCATTACTCAGTGTGAGTGACGTCTCTTGGGGCTGAGTTCAGAGGCCTCTCACAAGGGCCCTTGTCCCATCTCTAGGCTGGTGGCATTGCTCGCCATCAGGGTGTCAGCATCTCGCATTAACATGCACTGACTTGCTGGCATGCCCTCCTCTCCTGGCCCCTCATGTTTTCTGTCATGTCCATGCCTCCTTAGTTCTCTCTTGCTGGTGGACCACTTTTATAACTTGTGCCATTGCTCACACCATCAGTGTCTTGTGCACTGAACTTGTGGCCTGCTATCTTTGTTAGGATTTGGCAGCTATTAGCACAATGGTAGCAAATGACTCGTTCCCCTTGAAGGAGGAGCAGGGACACTGGGAACTCTGGAACTCACCATTTATCTTTGCAGCTTTTCTGCAAAAAGAGAATAAAAGATGTATTTTAAAAAGGGCAGGAAGACATCTTTCTCTGTGGGTCCTTGTTATTTAACTCCAGGTACACATGTGGCCATTTCAGGGCCTCCTGGTGTCTCCTGACAGCAGCAGCCAGTGTCCAGCTCTCTTTGAAACTCTGCTTTGACACTTGTTCTTATTTAAATAATTAAACAAAGTGGTCATTTTTGTCTTTGTAATCTAGGTTCACAAGATCAAGTCAGCCTTTGTGGATGGAGTACTAGCGTGCATAAATAAGGTAAGTGGACCTGAACAAAGGTTGTGATTAGAAGATGATTTACACCTGAGTTCAGATATATGGAGAATTTCTCTAGATTTTCATTAATGATGAAATAATCTAATATCCTTAACACTATAAACCACGACTTTGTTATTGGTCAGGTCCCTTTGTGGCATAAAGTGACATCACACAGAGTGTCAGCCCCCATGTGCTTGGGGAAGCTGCTGGCCGCCATTCCTCCAGTTAGTTCATCTCTCCCTGCAGTCGTGTGAGGGAGGTGATGGTGCTGTAGTTTTTACAGGAGCAGCTGGCCGTCAGAGGGGTTCTGTGGCTTGTCTGACACCACACAGCTAGTGATACCCCTGTGGATGCTCGGTCCCAACTCAGTCCCTGCTGAGTTCCCCACTGCTCACCAGCCCCCTCCGCAAGCACAGGCTGGCGTAAGTGACACAAGGACCTACAAGTCCTACTGCAGCCTCTGCCTGGGTTGGGGGAGAAACCTCCCTTGCTGCCTACCCTGATCACACGTCAGAAGTTTTCTAGCACACAGAGATATTTCTGAGTCTGAGTTTAGAGTCATCAGCTCATGGTCCCCTGGAGGGGAGCAGTGACCTTGTGTGCTGTAGGCCAAGAGGCCGAGGGGCCCAGCATGTGCTTGATTTCTTGTTGCATCATCAGAGCTTAACCTGTTCTCTTCAACCGATCAAGGGCTGTGTCTCCTCTACGTGGAATCAGACTGGAACTGTGACTGGAAGACTTTCAGCCAAGCATCCGGTAAGTTAGCCTCTTTGTTAGAGGCTGGTTTCCACGCCTTGGAACTCAAGTTTTGCCTAGACGTGTTTGCCTGTACATTTTCTGTTTCTAAATGGGGACCCAATACCGATGGGTTGTGTTTTATCCTGTTTACTCACTCAGATATTTATTTAGCACCTACTATGTTTTGGGGATCTAGTGGAGGAAGAAAACCTGTTGTCCCAACTGTGTTAAATAGGTGAGGGGGTTCTTCTGGTCCAGAGAGTCATGTGCTCTGAGGCTAAGGGGAAAAGGGACACCCTGTTCCCACTCCTCTTTGTTTTTAATTTGTACTGGACGATTTCCAGAAATGAGTTGAAATAACTGATGCTGTGATGACCACCTCCATTTCTTGTTGTTATTCAAGACCAACTCTGATGGAAAAAGTTATAAATGTCCTTGAATTTATGCAGCTTTAATAACATGTAAAGCAATTAGCTTTTTAAATGGCTGTATGTTTTTGAATTAAAGATGATTTATTACTAATTTCTCATTATAGAACAGTTCTGTAAGTACAGAAAAGAAATGTAAAAAATCTAATGAAAGTCACCTGTTATTCCACCATGCAGAATTGACTGTGGGTAACATTTTGGTGTATATCTTTCCAGATTTTTTGCTAAGCGCATGTGTTTATAAAATACTATTTTTCTACAAAAATAAAATTAGGCTCATTTTATGCTTTTTAATTTTAAGAAGTCTTAATAATATATATCAACATTGACCTGAATCTATATTTAGATGAAGTATCTAAATTATTTAAACATATGAATTAAGTATGTGAATTATTTAAACGTGCACCTAAAAATACACATACACAAGTTTGACAGACACTTCACCAAAGAACGTGGATGACAAATAAACACATGAAAAGGTGCCCCATATCCTGTGTCATTAGGAAACCACTGGGATGCCATTGTGGAAATCCCCAAACTGGGAAGCCCAGTGCTGACCAGGATGTGGAACAAAAGAAGCCCTCACCCACTGCTGGCAGCAACATGGAACAGCCCGGCCTCTGTGGAAGGTGGAGGTTTGTTATAAAACTAAACACAGACGCACCACTGAGGCTCTTCTAGCTATTTACACAGATTATTTGAAAACTTATATGTTTGCACAGAAACCTACATGAAGATGTTTATAGCAGAACACCCCTAAAGTGTGAGTGTGATAGTGACTTCTTTCCAAAGACTACCATGCGGAAGGATAGAAAGGGAGGAAGTAAAAAGGGAACTTCCCGGCAGGTACCCTGGCTGCCCGACCTCAGCCAGGTGCTGAAGGGTGACATCGCCCATGATGATCTAGTGGGTATCCTATGCCCTTGATATGTGAGTTGAGATGGCGCTTCATCTCTGCGGTTTCTTCTCCCAAACTCACTGCCCCAATCAACCAAACTCAAACTGAGAGACAGTCTACAATACAGCTGAGCAGTACTGCTCCACGTGTCAAGGTCATCAGAAACAAGGAACGCCTGACCAACTGTCACAGCCGAGGAGCCTGAAGGAGACTGACTGGGACTTAACCCAATGTGGTGCCTTGACGGAATCCTGGAAGAGAAAAGAAAAAGAAAACTGCTGAAATCCAAATAAAATGTGGAGTTAATAATGTAAAAAAAAAAAATACACATACACAGGAATATATTTTCCTCCAGACTTTTAATAAAACCTTAAACATACACATGCATATCCATACATATGTACACAGACATGTGATGACTTTGTCATTATTTGTTTTACAGAACTAGCATTCTGTTTTCCTGCCTCTTGTTTGTCTCTCGGCAACAGCTTGTGCAGTCCCTGCAGAGCCCCATTTCCCTCTCATCAGTGTGTATTCTGCTGTTCCTCAGGCAGGCCTATGCCGGGGCACACGTGTTTCACATTCATTTCTTGCCCTCTCAGAGTGAAGCTGCAATAAGCATCATGCACATAGGTCCTCGTGTGTTGGTACTTGTATTTTTCTGGGGTAGATTATCAGGTGTGGAATTCCTGGGTCAAGGATATTACATTTTTACCTTTAATAGCTATTGTTAAGATTGCCTTCCAAAATGGTTTAGCTCTCAACATCGCCACAAGCAATGTGTGGCAGTATTTTCTCCACTATCTATGGCAACTTTTCTCTCTATTGTAGTGTCATCTTAGCAAGGCTTTTCTCAGCTCCAAGATTACTTAAATATTTACCTCTGTTTTCTTAAAGAACTTTTGTTCTATCATTTTATTCACATGTGGAACTTGAATCCAGCTGCACATTGTTTAACCACAGATTATGTAGGCTACATGATAGTGCCATAAAGTGGTAGAGCTTGAATTACATTTTTTTATTGAAAGCATACAAAATATGCTTAATAATTTAATAAGTCAGATTATAACTGTTTTTGAACATTTCTAGAAAGCTAATTTCTCACACATACACTCTTCAAAAAGAAAGATACTGTTATCAGTTGACTCATCACCACCCACTTTTGTGTTCTGCTTCATGGTTATTTCTAATAATAGAAAAGTGTGAAATGTTTTTATCTTTTGGTTGACCTTTATTTGACTTTTTAATGATTTTGAGATTCTACCAGGTTGTTCTGTATTTAAACAATTCATTCCATTTTATTGCTGTGTGGTACATGTTGTATATGTGTCCCGCAATCAGTTTGTAAACTCACCTATTGATCAATATTTGGGCTGTTTACAGTTTTGGGATATTATCCAGTTTGGGTTATTACAATGCACCTTTGTGCACAGTCCTTTTATGGACATATAGTTTGTTTTCACTTGGGTAAATACCGCAGAGAGGGACAGCTCAGTCACGTGGTAGGTGTGTGTTCCACTGCTCAAGAACCTGCCAAACGGCTTCCCAGAGTCATTGTACCACTTGCCATCCACAGTACCGGATGAGAGCTCCATTTCCTTCACAGCCCATAGTACTTATGGTCAGTCTTTTTAATTTTAGCCATTCTAATAGGTGTGCAGTGGTACATCATTGTGTTTTTGATTACATTGGCTTAATCACTAATGATTATTTGCCATCCAGTTCTCTTATTCAGTGAGGCATATAGTCAAATCTTCTGTACATTTTCATTGATTGTTTTCTTATCACTGAGTTTTGAGAGTTCTTTCTATGTTCCAGATATAAGTCCTTTCTCAGATGTATACTTTGTAAGTATTTTCTTCCAGTCTGTGGTTTGTCTTTTCATTCATTTGATTCCGTCTTTTGAAAGACTGAAATTTAAAATTTTAATGAATTCCAATTTATCAATGTGTTCTTATATGGATCATGCTTTGGTGTTGCATCTCAGAAAGCTTTGCCTAAACCAAGATCACAAAGGATTATCTTGTTTTCTTCTAGAAGTTTTATAGCTTCTGATTTTACATTTAGGTCTATGGTCCCTTTTGAGTTGATTTCTGTATATGGTATGAAGCAAGTGTCTAACTTTATCCCTGTGTAAGTGGATACCAATTGTCCCAACACTACTTGTTGAAAAGACTGACCTTCCCCCCATTTAAATACTTCAGCTCCTTTGTCAAAAAATGACATCACCATAAATATAAGGGTTTACTTCTGTTTTCTTAGATCTGTGCAATTGATCTGTATATCTCCCATACCAGTAATGCAGTGTCCTGATTATCGTAGCTTTCTAGTGAGTATTTAATTTGGGTTATGTAACTCCTTCAACATTGTTTTTGTTTTTTTCAAATGAAGGGATGTGTTTGCCATTCTGTAATGCATTTAGAGAAGTATTTAAAAACATCTATATTGACAGTGGTTATATGAGTGTTCTGTACAAGCTGCTTTGAGAACAGTGTTATTGCAGGGAATGGATATGGTAGCTTTTCTGAAATGCACTTAGAGAAGTGTTTAAAAACACATGTAATAAAGATGTTTATAAATAGGAGCTCTACGTGTGTGATACTTTGGAAAGAGGTTAACATCAGGGAATGGACGTGTCGGCTCTTCTCTGATACATTTAGAGAGTGTTTATAAACACTTGTGATAGCGATGTTGGTGAGCATGACACTGCTTGCTAGAAGAGAACATTTATTTAATTGAGATATAATTCATGTATATTATATTAGTTTGAAGTGTATAGCTTAGTGATTTGATGTATACATACATTATGAAATGATCACTGGAGAAGTGTGGTTAACATCCCTCACAACATGGAGTTGCAATGTTTTTTCTTGTGATGAGAACTTTTAAGATCTCTCTTGGCAACTTTCATATATACAGCACAGTACAATTTATTCCAGTCACCATGCTATGTATTACATCCCCTGGACTTATTTTATTTTGACTAGGAGTGTGGAACCCCTCTAACATTGTTCTTTTTAAAAGTAATTTGGTTATTCTGGGCCCTTTGTGTTCTGATATCAGTGTTATAATCAGCTTGTTAATTCCTACAAAAAGTGCTGAGATTTGCATTAGCATTACACTGAATCTTCAATTTGATTTAGGGAGATGAACATCTTAATATTTAGTCTTCCATCTTTTGAATATTAATTTCTCCTGGCAAAACCAAGTATGGGTCTGTCTAAATATTTTGTCAGATTTATCTCTTAAGTACTTTATATTTTTGATAGGGTTGTAAATTGTATTGTTTCACCTCTCAGTTGTTCATTGCTTGTTTATAGAAATACAGTTGATTTCTATATTTTGATTTTGCATCCTACAACCTTAGGTCCAGTAAATTTTATTCTGCACATTTCATCTGATTTTTCTATATAGATGATCATGTCATGTGAATAAAGTTTTCTTTCTTCCTCTCCAATATGGATTCCTTTTAATTTTTTTTCTTGCCTGATTGCACTAACCACAACACACTGTACCATGTTGAATAGAAGTGTGGAGAGCAGACATCTTGTCTTGTTCCAGATCTTAGGAGAAGCTCTCACTTTTGTCAGTAAGAATGCTGTCAGCTGTGTGTTTTACCTAAGTACCCTTGACAAACTTGAGAAAGTTCCCTTCAAATAATAGTTTGCTGAGAGTTTTTATCTGGATATTGGATTTTGTCAGACTCTTTTTTGCATCTGTTAAGGTGACCATATGGTTTTTCTTTTTTAATTTATTAATATGATGAATTACATTGACAAACGTTCAAATGTTAAACCAACTCTGCATTCCTGGAATAAAGCCCGGTTGATCTTGATGTATTATCCCTTTTTTATATTGTTGGATTAGATTTGCCAAATTTTTGTTTAGAATCTTTGCATTCTCATTTAATGATGTATGTTAGCAGTTTTCTTTTATACTAATATCTTTGCCTGGTCTTGGTATTAGGGTAATGTTAACTTCAAATAATGAATTGAGAAGTATGTCCTCCCCTTCAAGTTTCTGGGAGAATTTATGTAGAATTGTTTTCATTTTCTCTCAACTGTTTGATAGAATTCAATAGGGAAGGCATCTGGGCCTGGAGGTTTTGTAGGAAAGTACTTAACTACAAATTCAATTTACTTAATAGATATATTATGTGTTAATTATCTATTTCTTCTTGAGTGAGCCTTGATAGTTGGTGTCTTTCAAGGAATTTATTCACTTCATCTGAATTGTTTAATTTATTGGCACTGAGTTCTTCATAAAATTCTCTCCTTTTAATATATGTAGTATCTGTGATGTCGCCTTTCTCATTTGTGACATTGGCAATTTGTGTATTACTCTTTTCCCCATCATCAGTTTTTGGCTTCATTAATTTTATTGTTTTTGTTTTCTATTTCATTGATTATATTTTTGATGCTTACTTTGAGTTTGATTTGCTCTCCCTTTTCTACTTTCTTAAAGTAGAATCTGAGTTTATTGATTTAAAACGTTCTTCTTTAGTGATACAGGCATTCAATACTATAAATTTTCCCCCAGGTACTGCTTTCTGACAGCTAATAAATTCTGATATGTTGTGTTTTCATTTTCATTCAATTAAAAATTTTTTCTAGTAACTCTTTCCATGTCTCCTTTGACCCATGAATTATTTAGAAGTTTGTTATTTAATTTCCAAATATGTGGTGATTTTCCAAATATTTTTCTGTTTCTGATTTTAATTTAATTCCACTGTGGTTAAAGGATATATTTTGTGTGACTTGAATCCTTTTAAATTTATTCAGACCTGTTTTTTTAAATACAATTTTATTATTAAGGTATTATTGATATATACTCTTATGAAGGTTTCACATGAAAAACAACATGGTTACTACATTCACACATACTATCCAGTCCCCCCACATACCCCAGTGCAGTCACTGTCCATCAGTGTAGTAAGATGCTACAGAGTCACTGCTTGTCTTCTCTGTGCTACACTGTCTTCCCCATGATCTCCCCCACACCATGTGTACTAATCATAATACCCCTCAATCCCCTTCTCCCTCCCTCCCGTCCGCCCTCCAACAACCCTCCCCTTTAGTAACCACTAGTCCCTTTTTGGAGTTTGTGAGTCTGCTGCTGTTTTGTTCCTTCAGTTATGCTTCGTTGTTATACTCCACAAATGAGGGAAATCATTTTTGATACTTATCTTTCTCTGCCTGGCTTATTTCACTGAGCATAATACCCTCCAGCTGTATCCATGTTGTTGCAAATGGTAGGATTTGTTTCTTTCTTATGGCTGAATAGTATTCCATTGTGTATATGTACCACATCTTCTTTATCCATTCATCTACTGATGGACACTTAGGTTGCTTCCATGTCTTGGCTATTGTAAGCAGTGCTGCAATAAACATAGGGGTGCATCTGTCTTTTTGAATCTCAGAACTTGTATTCTTTGGGTAAATTCCTAGGAGTGGAATTCCCAGGTCAAATTGTACTTCTATTTCTAGTTTTTTGAGGAACCTCCATATTGCTTTCCACAATGGATGAACTGGTTTACATTCCCACCAGCAGTGTAAGAGGGTTCCCCTTTCTCCACATCCTTGTCAGCATTTGTTGTTCTTAGTCTTTTCGATGCTGCCCATCCTAACTGGTGTGAGGTGATATCTCATTGTGATTTGAATTTGCATTTCCCTGATAATTAGTGATGTGGAGCATCTTTTCATGTGCCTGTTGGCCATCTTAATTTCTTCTTTGGAGAATTCTCTGTTCATATCCTCCACCCATTTTTTAATCAAGTCATTTGCTTTTTGGTTGCTGAGGCTGTCAGTTCTTTATATATTTTGGATGTTAACCCCTTGTCAGATATGTCATTTACAAATATATTCTCCCATACTGTAGGATGCCTTTTGTTCTGCTGATGGTGTCCTTTGCTCTACAGAAGCTTTTTAGTTTGATGTAGTCCCATTTGTTCATTTTTTATGTTGTTTCCCTTGCCCAAGGAGATGCATTCAGGAAAAAGTTGCTCATGTTTATATTCAGGAAATTTTTGCCTATGTTGTCTTCTAAGAGTTTTATGGTTTCATGACTTACATTCAGGTCTTTGATCCATTTAGAGTTTACTTTTGTGTGTGGGGTTAGACAATAATCCAGTTTCATTCTCTTGTATGTAGCTGTCCAGTTTTGCCAACACCAGCTTTAGAAGAGGCTGTCATATCCCCATTGTGTGTCCATGGCTCCTTTATTGTATATTAATTCACCATATATGCTTGGGTTTATACCAGGACTCTCTAGTCTGTTCCATTGGTCTATGGGTCTGTTCTTGTGCCAGTACCAAATAGTCTTGGTTACTGTGGCTTTGCAGTAGACCTTGAAGTTGGGGAGTGTAAACCTCCCATCTTTATTCTTCCTTCTCAGGATTGCTTTGGCTATTCAAGGTCTTTTGTGGTGCCATATGAATTTGCTCTAGTTTGTTGAAGAATGCTGTTGGTATTTTTATAGGGATTGCATTGAATCTGTATATTGACTTAGGCAGAATGGCCATTTTGACAATATTAATTCTTCCTATCCATGAGCATGGGATGTATTTCCATTTATTGGTATCTTCTTTAATTTCCTTCATAAGTGTATTGTAGTTTCCAGGGTATAGGTCTTGGTTAGGTTTATTCCCAACTATTTTATTCTTTTTGATGCAATTGTGAATGGAATTGTTTTCCTGATTTGTCTTTCTGCTAGTTCATCATTAGTGTATAGCAATGTAACAGCTTTCTGTGTAGTAGTTTTGTATCCTGCAACTTTGCTGAATTTAGATATGAGCTCTAGTAGTTTTGGAGTGGATTCTTTATGATATTTCATGTACAGTATCATGTCATCTGCAAACAGTGATGGTTTAACTTCTTCTTTACCAATCTGGATGCCTTTTATTTCTTTGTGTTGTCTGCTTGCCTTGGCTAGGACCTCCAGAACTATGTTGAATAAAAGTGGGGAGAGTGGGCATCCTTTTCGTGTTCCCGATCATAAAGGAAAAGCTTTCAACTTCTTGCTGTAAAGTATGATGTTGGCTGTGGGTTTGTCATATATGGCCATTGTTATGTTGAGGTACTTGCCCTCTACACCCATTTTGTTGAGAGTTTTTATCATGAATGGATATTCAATTTTGGTCTAATGTTTTTCAGCATCTATGGAGATGATTGTATGGTTTTTGTCCTTTTTGTTGATGTGGTGGATGATGTTGATGGATTTTCTAAAATTGTACCATCCCTGCATCCCTAGAATAAATCCTACTTGATCATGATGGATGATCTTCTTGATGTATTTTTAAATTTAGTTTGCTAATATTTTGTTGAATATTTTTGCATCTATGTTCATCAGGGATATAGATCTGTAATTTTCTTTTTTTGTGGTGTCATTGTCTGGTTTTGGTGTTAGAGTGATGCTGGCCTCATGGAATGAGTTTGGAAGTATTCCCTCCTCTTCTACTTTTTGGAAAACTTTAAGGAGGATGGGTATTAGGTCTTCACTAAATGTTTGACAGAATTCAGCGGTGAAGCCATCTAGATAGGGGTTTTGTTCTTAGGTAGTTTTTTGATAACCAATTCAATTTTGTTGCTGGTAATTAGTCTGTTAAGATTTTGTGTTTCTTCCTGGGTCAGCCTTGGAAGGTTGTATTTTTCTAGAAAGTTGTCCATTTCTTCTAGTTTATCCAGTTTGTTAGCATATAATTTTTCATAGCATTCTCTAATAATTCTTTGTATTTTTGTGGTGTCCATAGTGATTTTTCCTTTCTCATTTCTGATTCTGTTTATGTGTGTAGATTATCCTTTTTTCTTGGTAAGTCTGGCTAGGGGTTTATCTATTTTGTAGATTTTCTCAAAAAACCAGCTCCTGCTTTCATTGATTCTTTCTATTGTTTTATTCTTCTTAATTTTATTTATTTCTGCTCTAATCTTCATTATGTCCCTCCTTCTACTGACTTTGGGCCTCATTTGTTCTTCCTTTTCTAGTTTCGTTAATTGTGAGTTTAGACTGTTCATATGGAATTGTTCTTCTTTCCTGAGGTAGGCCTATATTGCAGTATACTTCCCTCTTAGCATGGCCTTTGCTGCGTCCCACAGATTTCGGGGTGTTGAATTATTGTCATTTGTCTCCATATATTGCTTGATCTCTTTTTATTTGGTCATTGATTCATTGCTTATTTAGGAGCATGTTGTGAAGCCTCCATGTGTTTGTGGGCTCTTTTGTTTTCTTTGCATAGTTTATTTGTAGTTTCATACCTTTGTGATCTGAGAAGCTGGTTGATACAATTTCAATCTTTTTGAATTCACTGAGGCTCTTTTTGTAGGCTAGTATATGATCTATTCTTGAAAATGTTCCATGTGCACTTGAGAAGAATGTGTATGCTACTGTTTCTGGGTGAAGTGTTCTGTGGATGT